CGGCCCCCTCAACAGATTGACGCTAAACCCTTTTTTCGTTTTTTTTTTTTTAAACATCCCTAAACTCATTCAAACCATAATCCATTCCATGACGGAGAATACCTTCACGACGCGAAGAAGCAATTCTGCTGCCAGGTTCAGCTCGTACAGTTCGATTGTGAAAATGCCACGATGAAGACCTTCTTGACTACTTAGAAGGTAGAAAAGGTCACCCCGCAAACCGTATAACTCCAGCTTGGTCGAGCAAACGAAGTGAAAACAGACGAGAGAGAACGAGCAAACGACGTGCAAACAGACGAGAGAAAGTAGCTCCCGCTTGGTCGAGCAAACGAAGTGAAAACATACGAGAGAACGTAGCTTCCGCTCGATCAGGCAAACGCAATCAAACCGTATAACTCCAGCTTGATCGAGCAAACGAAGTGAAAACATACGAGAGAGAACGTCACTCCAGCTTGATCGAGCAAACGAAGTGAAAACAGACGAGAGAACGTAAGTCCAGCTTGGTCGAGCAAACGAAGTGAAAACATACGAGAGAACGTAGCTCCCGCTCGATCGAGCAAACGAAGTGAAAACATACGAGAGAACGTACCTCCCGCTCGATCAGGCAAACGCAGTGAAGACGCAGTGGCCAACGAACATACTACCTATCCCCTCCATTTGCGGGGAGCGAGAAATTAGTTGAAAGTGATAGATAGAAGACAAGCAATGGCGCAATAGCTCTTGCTTGAAATCGACAAAGAAATCGTACAAAGCTTGTCACTAGAGCGTGAGAGATCGGAAGGGGAGGAGACTGGAAAAGGCAGAAGAAAAGAACAAGCGAACTGGACTCCGCCTGTGAGCCAAGTGCTAAGGAGGATTTGAAGACGGAAAAAAAAGAAGATTTGAAAACAAGACGGAAAAAAAGAAGGAAGATAGAAAAACAGACAATCACGCTATCGTGGTTTTCTTCGAAGCAAAGAGAAGATCCGACCGTCAGGTGCCGAAAATGAAACCGACGACGGTCCGTACAACGCTTATTTGCGACTGAGACTTCGTCAGTCCGCAGTACGAGTTAAATAAAAAATGCCCCAAGCTTCAGAACGTCAGTCCAAAGCAAAGCAAAGAAAAGCAAAGCAAATCAAAGCAAAGCAAGGAAAAGCAAAGCAAAGAAAAGCAAAGCCAAGAAAAGAGCAAAGCAAAGAAAAGCAAAGCAAAGAAAAGAAAAGCAAATGCAGTCAAATCAGCAATGTGGAGATCTGTGGTAAGAACACAACACCCACAAAGTAACCAAGGACAGGATCAGACACAATAACAGAACTAAGCACGGTCCAATCCATACTACCTAGCGTACATAGATACTACCTCTCTCTCTCTCTCTCTCTCTCTCTCTCTCTCTCTCTCTCTCTCTCTCTCTCTCTCTCTCTCTCTCTCTCTCTC